TCTCAATGGATAGTCATTGTAAGGTAGTTTATAAAAGAATAGAAATAGGTACGATTTTGAAGATATTTTTAGCTTCTTGTTTTTCTAGTCTTAGTTGAAATTTACCATATTTTGCTGTTGTAGTTGTTTGACATGGAGGAGAGAAGACATCATCACATGCATCACTTAGCAACCTTAGTACAGACCATGTATCGTGGATGGCATGCCATGACACACTTCAAGAAGATGAAGAAGGGTGCTATACTCATCGCTTCACAATTCAGGGGCTACCAGGTAGGAATATTGAATTTCATTGAGGTGTAATCCATTCTGAGGATTGTTTTCTGGAAGTTTACTTTGTTGAATATTATTTGAGCTACTTATGTATTTGTACATTCCTGTAGATACATTTTGATCTGTACAGTCATTATATGTGTTGGAAAATGAGTGTGATACAGGCCATAACTATTAGTGCAATAAAACCTATCTACTCCAAGGATAACACATAACAATGGACATCATTTGGAATATATTGCAATAGCGTTAACTTTTACAAACTCATTTCTTCCCTACATCTTTAGCTTTTACTGTAACACACTATGTCTGGATATTCATCAATTGTGATTCACTATAAATGATATTTTCCTTTTGGTGATGTTTTTCTTAAAGTTTCATAATGTTTGATATGACTAGGAGAGAACGTTGTACCAGAAGAAGAAGAAAGCTTCTACCACCATTGCAGCTCATTTCCATGGTCATCAAGCAAGAGAGGAGTTCAAGAAGATCAAATACAGGGCAAGATGTGTCTGGGCAGCTAGCATCATTCTCAAGTTCTATGTCGGATGGAAGGTAAGATGCTCAAGATAGGGAGGTGGTTTTAAGAAGTAATGATCATAATGATTGGATATAAAAAGTGCTAGATAATTATAATTACCGGAGCTGATTTTAAAAAGTAATGATCATAATGATTGGATATAAAAAGTGCTAGATACCGTAATTATAATAACCATAGCTTATTAATTTTTACCAGATAAAGATTTATTACACCTTGGTGAAGATGTATGCATTACCAAATGGTGTTAGTTTGTTGGGTACTGATGGTGATGATGATGATGATGATGACGATGACGATGACGATGACGATGATGATGATGACGATGATGATGACGAAGATGATGACGATAATGATGCTGATCATGATCATGATGAGGATGAGGATGATGCTGATGATGCTGATGATGATGATGATGCTGATGATGATCATGATGATGATGATCATGATCATCATCATGAGGAGGAGGAGGATGAGGATGAGGTATTTTTTTGGTCAAAGTTCACTGATTTATCTTGTAGGGAACAGCCAGGTAGTAAACAAAATTGATTAAATGCATTAGATTGGAGATATTGTTGGATGAAAAGTGGAGAAAAAGAGAGAGATAGGAGAGATGGAAATTAAAGAAACATCTCTGACACATTTTTCATTTTGTCTTCTTGTAATAGGTGCGGAAGGAGTTCAGGAAGCACTTCAAAGCCAATGCAGGTCCAAAGGTCAAGGCCTTTATCATGAAATGTATCGTAAGTATAACCTCTAACTCATTTTATCATGCACGGTCAGCTTCTAGGGACCCTTGTCAAAACTTCATACCATTTTTTTTTTTACTGGACATATACAATCATATCTATTTGGGGGATCACCGCTCCCTAGAATAACTCTGCCTCTTGATGGTTACATAGAGGTGTGTGACAGGTGACCTGACATTTGCTAAAGAACATCTGCACCAGTATTTGTATTAAAAAAACATCAGAGTTGGGGTTTGGGTTGAGAATTTGTTTAAAGTTAGGTTTTAAGGTCTTAAGGTTAGGGTATATTTTAGGGGCATTCTACAAGTGTAATTATGTGACTGCAGAGCAATTTTTGCTGGAGCATGGGTTAGAGAACCACTAGCATAGTCACAGTCATGCCTATGTTGATAGCCCTCTACATCTCTTTTGAAGGGGAGAGACGATAACCTGCGTAGCTGTTCATCTGTATACATTGCACGTGCATTCCAAGATAAGAGATGAGAGGATCATATGTACATGATCAAGTTTTATTGTTTCCTTCCCAGTCAAGTGACTGTGGAATGGTAATCCATTTATAAGTGAGAAATGTCAATCTTTAGGCAAACGATTGATTTATACCCCTCTGAACTATTCCTAGAATGTGAGGTACCTACAAAGGTTAAAGCAACACCTGCCCTCGATGTCACCCATGGATGCATCATGGCCGCCATGCTCCCCGCTGCACACCACAGCTCACAAACAACTCCAAGAAATCTTCATCACGTGGAGAGCCAACCAGTTCAGGAAGAAGTTTGATGAAGCTACCAGGATTCGTCTGGGTGAGAAGGTCACAGCTAGTAGCTTGTTCAAGGACAAGAAGGCCCTCTATCCAAAGAGGTGAGAAAACATAATGCCACTTTTTGAATAATAATAATAATAATACTCCTTTTTTATATAGCGCTTATCACAATCACTAAGCGCTTCCAAACTTGGAGACTATTACCCCGGCTTTGTATGTACCTATGAGCTTTGATAAGGAGAATGATTGGCCCTCATAGACATTGATTTTGGTTATGTTGTCAAGCTAAATGAATATGATATTAATAAAAATTAAAACATCAGTCTTTATTTACATTACCCGATTACGCCTATCTGGCAATAGTTTAGTAAACTGGTATAAAATCATTTTTCAGCTTTTGCATTAGGAGTGTGTGATAGGTGACCATGAATATTTGTTATATCATTTGCATTGTTTGCTGTCTTATATTTAATCTTGTTCTTTCTGCTGTTTGTTATGTCTCTTATGATTCTCGTTGTTTTGCTTTTTTTGTCCATATTTAATCTCTTCTGTTCCTATCATCTATCTTGTTTACTTGAATGATTGATTTTTAAATTTGATTTTTCTGTCTGTTCAATTCTTAAAGAGAAATATGGAGATGGTTATGTTTAAAAGTTTAAATGGTTGATGGTTCAATAGTTCACTTGTCAATTTTAAACCAGTCCTTCTTGTTATAACAAGCACACACCTAGAGTTGAAAGTGATATGTCTGATTGATGAACACTACTCTTATCTTGTCCCTCATTCTTCTATCTGTAGTGTGGCAATTCCATTCAAGGGAGATTATGTGCTACTAAGAAACAATGCCAAATACAAGAAGACCCATGCAGAGACCAGTGATCAGTTCATTGTTTTTGCTGATATCGTCAAAAAGATCAACAGAAACAATGGCAAGGTAATTTCCTCCTTGATATATTTATGGGAAAAAAATGAAAATGAATGTATTTCACAAACCTGCCAACCACCCCGATTTAGGCGGAGTTCCTCCGCATTTTTCATACCAACTCCGAATTCCGAGTGCATGCCTCAAAACTCCGATTTTTTTTAATTTTTTTTTTTTTTTTTTTTTTTTTTTTTTTTTTTTTAGAGTGTAATGCACTTGGAGAGTATATAACTATTATGTTTGTATTTTGAAATGTAAAGCGCCTTGAGCATGTTCATGTAAAGGCGCTCAATAAATACCAATATGTATGTATGTATGTATAAGACTAAAGCATAACACAGCACTGATAACCAGATCACGCCGACATCCGCGCTCGCGCTCATAGAAGATATACACAGCGACATGAAGAAAAAAAAATAGACCCTAAAGTCCTGTGTACCCCCCCCCCCCCCCCCCCCCCAATCTACGGGCTACTATCCCAATCCTTTGGTTTGTTTCGCGACCTCATAGTCTATCCAGAAAAATTTACTCCTAATTTCTCTTGTCTCAGGTTGGCAGGTATGATTTCAGGTATTGTTAAATTCTTTAAGCGGAAGAATAGGAATCTTCAAAATTGTCATCCTTGTGCTTAACATGGCTGTTCAAATCAATTACTCAGTTGAATCAGATGCACAGATTGAACTGATTGAATTGAGTCTCATGTGTAATAAACTCAATTTTTACTGAATGAAAAATATAAATCTGTCTCTTCTCATGAAATTAGAATAGTGTATTTGAGTTGTGCAATATGCTTGAAATGAAATATATGCATTTTGACTGTTATATTATAACTTTAGAAAATAGAAAGATTTGACAGTTATATTTAATGCAAACCATTACATTTTGGCATGAAACACAAGATTTGACCTTATCTTAACAATACATTCAATCATGTTACTCAATCATAGACCTCAGCACACTTAAGTGATTTGCCCTATAAATGTGATGCCTTTTGTTTGATTTTGAAGGTCACTGATCAGCTTGTTGTCTTGACAACTGCATCCTTCATGGTGATGGATCAGAAGACATTAGCTCAGAAGAACAGAGTTCCTCTAGCTGCTATCTCGGGCATGTCTGTAACACCATACAGTGACAATGTCCTCGTCATTCATGTCACAAAGGTATGTTACGTTTATGTATGCAGCTTTTCCAAAGTATTCAGAAGTCAAAATTGTAATTGGGCTATGTTTATCATTTTCATGTCTAAAGCTTTGTTCATACATGTACATGGTAGTTTAAACCCCTAAATGAAAATAGAGCAGCAAAATGGAAATTAATGTGTAAACAAATGGCACATGACAAAAAAGCTGGGGGTATCAAATACATATATACTTGTTATATGGCTTTAGAGTCTTAAATCACATTTAAATCAGGCTTCTATTTTTTATTTCTGTGAAAACAAGGACTATGCTGTTCTTCCATTGATAGTAATTACATGTGTGTGGTATGTACGTACAATACTAGATACATGTACATTTTAGTTTCACTTTTAGGGTGCACAGCTTTTTTTGAGGCTATAAAAAGCACAATAAGACATTGATCATAGCTGGTTCGTGATATTTTGATTACTGTGTACTTACTGTCTTCTGAACATATTTTTAGATTTTTGTTATACTTTGATTGTCTTGTACCTAGTGCAATATGCAGGATAATACAGATTTTATTTGCTTTTGGTCCAAATAGGGTGAAGACAACACTAAGAAAGGTGACTATGCGTTCCTGTGTGATAAACTGATTGAGATGGTAACTAAGTTCCATCGTATCATCAGAACAGCTACCAACAAAGATGTCTCTGTCACAGTAGCTGACAGGTAAATAACACATTAAATAATTTTTGTGTACAATCTTTTCTAAATATATCTCTCTTCTCCCTGTTTCTTTAGTACTGTTGTGCCATGGAATGCAAATGCCTCTTGTTTTTTTTTCTCCATCTTTCTCTCTCTCTCTCTCTCTTTCTCTCTGCATTACCATCTCAAATTCTCATCCTTTTTGTTAATTCTTTCACTTTTTTTAGTTTTTTTTTTTAGCAGTGGAAGGAAATTAAATCTTGTAAAGTACAAATCAAATAAGCAAGAAAATCTGCCATTGATTCAGTTAACAAGAAAAGCTTTCACTTTTAATTCTTTTGTCCTTTCTTGACCACAATTCAGGTTCCCAATGAACTTCAATGGATCAAGAATCGAAGCCGTCGTCAGTACGCAAGACCCTAAGGTCTCCAACCCAACACCCCTCATTAAACGTAAAGGCACAAGAATGGAAATTCAGGCATAGTAACAGCCTCCACTCAAACCCGAGTATAAAGGTCACCAAGTGGTATAAAGATGTAGAGTGGCCCTTCTAGACAGGTTACCTTGCAAGTCTAGCTCTTAGGAAGCAACATGATTGTCCACTGTAACAGGTGATCTTTTTAAACAAGAAACCTCTATGACAAGTATTATACTTTATCACATGAGGGTGAGATGAGAGTTGGTCTAGTCATCAGCCCTCTGTCTTCATCTAGAAATCAACTCTGTCCGTGCCCTGGTTCAAAACTGAGTCGCATCTTTCGGAAGATGACATTAATTCTTTACCAGCTTTTGTCAACTAATGGAACAAACAGGACTGCCATAGTCAACTCTTGTCACAAGTACAGTGTATATGTACTAGTATGCTAGTATGCTACAAACAGTATGGCTGTCCTGGGTTTTGATTCATGGCAAATAATCAGTTGAAGGTCAGCCCTCCAGACATAAATAACCACATCTGATTGATGCCTGTAAAAAAACAAATTACACCCATGCACAAATCCATGGAAGATGGAATCATCCAAGATTGAGAACAAGTGAGTTTACAATAGAGTGTACTGTTTGCAACAACAATGTTGTACATGTAGTCTCAGTATTTCATAGATCATTGCATAATGATAAGCCATGTATGTTGTTTTAACTAGGAGTAAAGCGAAACTCTTCAATATTCTCTTGGAAATGTATTCCTAATATAACTCCTTGAACCTTCATAATATCTGTCTCATGGGAAAACATTCCTCCAGTATGTTATGATGATTTAGAGTACATCCTGCACCAGTAGTTGACAACGTTGGTCAATGATGGTATGATTAGATTTAACATTGTCTGTAGCAACCAAATAACAATTGAAGGAAATTAGTTGTCAAAGTATTGCAAACCAAAGATGATTTTATCGGAATCTTCAAACATGCCTTATAAGCATTCCTCTAGTCTTCTGTGTTAGTTGATAAAGTGATCTCAATATTGTGTAAGGGCGCACCTGTCACTAAAGTCGCTTTCATTCCTTTTAAAGAAGAAAATGCTGTTCAGCTTAAAAGTGATTTTATTCTGTATTAGAAGTGGAGTTTATTTGATGTGATAACATCAATTTTCCACTGGCATCCATGTTTGATGCTTATTCTGATGAGGCATTTTATTCACAATATTTTTGCTTCTTTTAATGATTGTCAGTGTAGCATATAAAGGATAGAGCACAAAAGATTTACTGCCGGTGATATTCACTGACAAATCACTTTCATGGGATGTACTTTGCCTTTAATTTTTGAAGATAATGGTTTGGTTTTAAAACATATACTTTTTGTTTTGGCTTATAATTGATTTCATTATAGCCTTACTAACAGGTGGTAGGCCTATGGGGAGTAATAAACTCCAGTACTTTGTGACTCATTCCTTCAGATTTTCATAGCCTCTGAATATCAAATTTCATTCACTGAGAAAAACAAAATTTAAAACTAAATGCTTTATCTTGTGAATGAAGAAATTGTGCCTTCAGTATTTGTTCACATTTCATAATTGCAATCATTAAATATGCATATACCTAGTAAGCCAAAAACCTTTAGAAGTTTTGTGTGAATTGCATTCAAGTAGATGTTGTTAAATTCTTTGGAAGCCGTTATGCAGCAAATTGAAATATTTGAACTATTTCTTACTGTCCAGTCTGTTGAAATATTTATCATAAATGACACTAGCAATGGGAGTGTATTATATATTTATATGGTGTACAATGCTGCCAAGACTTCATCAAATAGTACATATACAATTGTCCTGCCTGTTCTCTGTAAGTTGTTAAAAAACAATTGTATTTATTTGAAAAATCCCAAGAGAATCAAGGAAGATAATATACCTAACGAAGATACCTGTTTGATATGTGTGCACATAGATTTATAATCTAATTGATATTAACAACTCAAATGTTCATGAAAAACAAAACTCAGTTTCATTGCTGCAGCATTACATTAATTGATACATTATAATCATTCATTTTGAGTGAGTTTCTTTGTGTAGATGAATAGTGAGTGAACTTGTCATGTATCTTTAGGTAAAGATGTCAAGGTGACTTTTCATTTCAGTTTCTCTGCTCATGCTCAAATTTTTCTTTTACATGTAATTATTAGCAAGCATTGCTAGTAGGAATAAATATTAATATGAAATATCACTAAATTTGAACCTGCTATGTGAAATTGTAATATACCATCACCAAGTTGGCATTTTGGAACTCTTTTAGATAAAAAAATTAAGTACTGTTTTGTTTTGTCTCTTGTGTTTTTTTAGATACTTTGAGTGCCTTCAGTTGCGGGAAATAACATGCCTTTTTCTTTATCCTTTCTTTCTTTTTTATTCTGATAGATGAAATCAGCATTTGTATTAACATATTGCCTTTTAGACCTGATCATGAACTTGTGATGATACAACCTCCAAAGATTTTGATATGTCCAATTGTGAACGCTCATTCATTGTGAAGATAGCATTGTATCATTGATAATAAAAAGTGTCAGAATTAAAATTGGGATTGAAAATTCATTTCTTAACTCAGAGGATAGTTTCTGCTACATGTACACGTATGTGAAAGGCAATGGAATAGCCTATATGTGGTTGAAGTGTGTTCAACCCTGCCAAAACAGGTGCGGATGCCCCAAATACTTTATGAACATTATTGCACATTTTATAAGCTAATTGTTGAGATAGAAGACATTCCTACAATCCTATCTGCAGCTGTCAAATAATGATAATGAAACTTTTATGACGCTGTAGGAGATTTTTTCCGTGATGGAGATTAGTCACTGATAACTAATGATGAAAATAATGGTCATTTAAGTATTTCTAGCAACAATGTTACTGATGAGTAATCTTTCTAGTACTGGTCATAGCAGCTCTTTTTATGAATGTAGTACAGGCCAAGTGAGGTATGGGTACTCTATTAAAGGCTTTATGCATTTTGTTATATTTGGTTGTGCCTAAAGTCAATGCCAAGGTGGCCTCTGTCTTTGTCCCAATCCAAGTTTTATTTTCAAATATGTTTTTGATATGTTAAAAGGAACACAAAATAATGAGGTAGTTTTTTCTGATACCTATTATACTTGTTCAAGTTGTATTCTCATAAATCATATACTGCTTGGATTTATAGGCACCTACATGTACATGTATGGTTATTTAATAGGCAGGTATTTTATTATCATTACACATACCAGTTTTACTAAGGTGTTTCTACTTCGTGAAGATTAGATGGAATCATTTGAAAAAAATGAATGCATCTTTTGTTTCATGGTGCTGTATTATATTTTCCATTCTTATTGTCTTGGGTTTAATGCTTTTTCTTTCTTTCATCATTCAATAGTGCTTTTGGTGATGGTCAGTTTCTTTTAGGTTATTTTGAATCATGGTGACAGTCTATATATAGCGCAAGTATTATTATCACTCAAACATCATTAAGTATTACATAGCTAGCCATTCTTTTTTGTATTATTTACCTTTAAAAGAAAATGGGAATTGTTGAACCAAAATGTTCTTAATGGGGTCTATGTACAATAGTATGACCCTTCTGAATCATACTTTTGTTGATATTAGAATCTTGAATTTAGAGTAATATTAATTTCTTGAACTAACTTCTCTGCTACATTCAGTGTTTGGCTTTCTTGTGGTTGCTTTATTTCTTCATCTCAGTTTGTACCAAAATGCTGTCAGCAGAATTATGTGAATCAGCTTTAGGAATAATATGATAATGTTCCTCTTCATAAATGTATGATTCTATCTAAGTATAAGTTTTATCCCAAGTATTCATCGTTGCCAAGTGCAACACACAGTTTCCCTAGCCCACCCTAAGGTTAAAACACTGATGTTCTAAATATATATATTGCACCACCTTTTATCTATAACATGATCGTAGAGATTTGAGAAATTAACTCAAAGGTAATTCAGAAACATATTGTAGAGTATATCCCATAGAAATCATGTTTAGATTCCTTACTACGTCATTGTATTGTTTTCACATGCTAAATGGTGATAGATCAAGGTTATTGAAATTGTGTTAGTTTTTGTTTGTTTAAGGTTCTGATCATGCATGTTGCATGACTACTTTGGAGCATATTTCAACAGATTAACCTATTTATATGTAAATTTAACAGAGTAAAATGATGAAATTAATTCTGCAAGGTTTTGCAGTCCAGATCATGTGATCAGATACATGTTAGTGCTGTATCTGTTTCTGTATGTATTTTGTTTATATTAAGCAAGATTAAATTGTTTTGTTTATCAAATCCAATGGTGATTAGAACTATATTTGCATCACCAAATTAAGCATTATTTTACAGACCGGTAATTGTTATTGGTCACTGCACGTCATAGTGGATTATAGTCTAGTATAATTTCTTTGCTGTGTCTCATTTTTGTTTTGCTAAGATATCATGTAAATCTTGTTTTGTCTTCCGATCAGAAGTGTCTTTAAATTGTTTGTTAAGGAACTATATGTGTCCATACATCTAGAACATGTAAGCTTAGAATGGTTAACATATTTAATTGTCATTGGTGTAAGTTACCTAAATGCAACTTTATTTAGTGTTGCAGTTGCAGACTTGTTGAAATGCATTGATTGGACCATTAACATGTATCTTAGGAAGTGATGAAATGACACCACTATTTTCCATTTTATGGGTAAAAAGGACCCCTTCTTTTTAAAGTATTCCCTATTTCACATTCCACTTTAAAGGACATTAAATAGATTGTGTATTTTCAGACGGGTTATCTAGCTTTTGTATACCTAGACCAAATATTGTAATCATTTATTAACATGTCTTCTTCGAGTACAAGCTGTACATATAGAAAAGAATTATGAAATTTGAATTATCTTTTGTAGACATTATTTCTATATTCACTTCTGTTGAAACAAATGTCACAGCTCTCTTTATATGATGTCTCCTGATATCTTCCTTTCTGATAATACCCAGAAATTCCATGCAGTGAGCCAAACGCATTCATGAATATTCCTTTACATAGAAACTTTTGATTTAAATCCATGGATCCGTATTTTACAAATTCACTTAAACCAGGCCTTTCGTTTACAATCACATTTAAACTTAAGGACAACTTAGACCTCAGACTAATTTCCTTTGTTCACCCCGATTTTGAATGAAATTCTAAATCCAGCGGCAGGTTTAAATTTTAGTAGAATATATGCCTTTGTGTTTAGTATAGAAATACTTGGAGCAAAAACTCTTGATTTATTCTCAGCAACAAAATTTAAAAAAAGAATCTTTCCCTGGAGAATTACCAAACTGAAACTGCATTAGAATACGAGGTGCTATCTGATTATACACATACCAGCATTTTAGCAAATCATTTTCCTTTGATACCCTATGGAAAGCCAAAATAAGAATTCATATATTCCCATCCATTAATTGAAAATGAAATTTCACTCTCATTTCTTTTTCCCTTTCCCACCAGCTATCATATATCCAAAATAGTTAGATTTGAATGTTCAACTGTTATCATGTACCATATATTTTCTGCTTTGTCAGTACTATTCTTGGTGCAGAGATTGTAATTTCAAGTGTTGGAATTTGTATGCGGGATATAAAAATACATACGTGTGCTTTTTGACAACGGGAATTTATTTATGATAATCATTTGTTTATGATTGTATTAGAAGTATTGGAAAATCATGTAATGATTATACTAATTGATTTACAAATCTCAGACTATTCTAAAGCATTTCAAACTGTCAGGTTATCTTTGATTTTAATTGTTCATATAAAGTAGTAATGTCATAATTGTATTGTCTACTTGAACCATGTAATAAATAATTGCAATATATAAATCCAGAGAAGAGAATGATATGTATGATTAAACAGTACACAAAGCATCCAAGAATCACTCCTAGATTTCTTGTGTATAGATGATTTTTAGGAGAGAGTTATAATTATTTGTAATAACTTGTATAATATTGTGATTTATAATAATTTTCATGTGTTTTGTCCAATATGCATATATTTGTGAAGAAAAAATATCAGTATATAACTGGAAAAATGACTTTTCAGAAAATAAATGTTTCAGATGTTAAATGCAAATGAACAATTGTTTCATGATTATTTGTGCTTTATGATTGTGTTCACCAGTAAGGGTCCACATGCTTGACATTATACATTTCAAAACAAATGTTTCTATTTCTTGACAACCCATGCATATGTAGCTAGAATCCGTAACAAAATACATATACATTTTCTATGTGCCAATTTTATTTCTTTGTATTTTAGGAGGGAGATGGTGCAATAATGGCATAATTCACCCTCTGGTTTAACATGTATGTACACATCACTTAAAAAAAGGCAAGGTGAACTCTTTTTATTCATTTATGATAATTTGATTGTTCTTTATTCTGAAAAGAAAAGAAAGATAGACACGCATATTTAAAAGACTACATACATCTTCATATTAAAACTTGACACCACTCAAACAAAAATAATAATTTCCTTTATTTTCAGAACATAAACCTGGAAGAAAAAAAAGAAAACCTTTTTTATCATATTCATAGAAAATACATTGGCGATTTCACATCCACGACAGGGATTATCATTTTCAATAATTTAGTAAAATAAACAGTATTTACAATACTTACATGAGACATTGAAAGATGATGGATGAATATTTATATTCAGATTAACATTACTTACACAGAGAAGGCAAGACATCTGACACAAAAACAAACGAAATATATATATGTCAGTGTAGATGTAAAGGGAGAACAGAAATAGAGGTGGGATGATGCTTAATACAGACTCAAATTCTTATCTATATTCTGTGCACAACAGACTCTAGTGTTTCTCATCTAAAATTGCATTGGAAAGAAAAGCAAATTTCACATGCCTATGGGTATATTCGTAGAGGGAATGATCACACATGTATGTATACAAATTTATGCATGAATTGATATATATTTTGTTTATAAAAGTTGTTCATGATAACAAGAACTCACAATACACAAGTATTATCTTATAAACAGGTATACATGATAAGCTACAATTGTATATAGGTAGAATAAATATGTGTGGAAAAGGGAAATACATTTGTTTTGTCACAAAAATACTTCTTTTTATCACATTACAGTCAAATAACCAAAGATATTGCTGAAAAGAAATTCCTTGAATAGCAAATTCATTAAAATTTGATCAATAGCTCAATTTTAGCTGACTCAAGTAATTATTCAGCAAAAATTACCTGTTCATCAACAATAAGGATCCACAAGTTTTGTATTTTCTGCAGAGAAATTTCTATTAAAAACTCCAATATTTATGTTGAAAATCTACAGAAAGTCTAACAGTCTAGTATATTTTCTTTCAACAAAAAATGTGTGTTTTGATTTTTAGACACACTGGAATCAAATCATCTCCATCACAATCACTTCTAATAAAGTGTGGCTTTTAACCCCTTTGCTTTCTAATACTTATACCATTATATTAGCCCAGATAAACAAACAACGTAAAAGAAAGACACCTTCTTTGACATACATGTATGATTATATATTTACAGCCGATCTTCTTTCATTTGATAATGATTCTGATTAGATCTCAATCACATGTTAATTGAAATTATGATGATACCACATACTTTACATTCCATGTTAAATGTAAAGAAATCCATAAAAACAGCACATTCTATCCACTTCATAATATACACGAAGATAATTTACAAAATTTGTACAATCAATAGCCTATTCTATTAATGCACCTCACATATTTTAGCAGTAGATCTTGCTTTTCATATTTGTTTTATGGCATTATTTAAGCATCTTTTGTAAGATACACAAATTTGAGATTTGATTGAAAATAGAAAATATGGCATGACCATTCTGTTGTTCATAAACAATACAATATAGGAAATAATGCTTTGATCTGCATATTTTCTGAACATTACTGAGTTTGAGAGAAAGTGTTAACAGAAACAGACTAACTGCTAACAAATAACAAGGTGTCATATGGCGAGAATATATTAGGGTGAGGGGAGGGTTATACCATTGCAATGTTTTAAGTAGCGCAAAAGTGGAAAAATGGTTCAAAAAGTAACTTTAAAAATATCTGCCGTATCAGACTGAAAGCACATATTTTCTTCCGTATTTTTCTGAAATTGCATAGAATAAAAAATATTCTTGCGATGTCAGGACGTTCTTTGTAATTTTCCTTTCCTCGTCTTTCAAGTTTGCCTGCTTTATCTGTAAAAACATATCTGAGGATATTTATGAATGTACATGTATTGCTACAGATTTACTCAATGAATGATATTGCCACATTTGAGTGAGTTTCTTGGTGTAGATGAAGATGAAATATGACTTAAAGTTTGATTGGAAATTAATATACTTGCTTTGTATTGTCATAACTTCTTGAATTATTTCAATGGATAGATTATCTTGTTATACGCCGTCATAACAATCTCTTTCAAAATGTGATCTTTCTATCTTTTCTCCTTACTTTTACAACACATCTCTGATCAACACAATGGTTTCTTCCGTTTAGCACCAAGGAAGTATAACGTTCTTTCAATGCAAGGCTAAAAAGTTGGTTTTCCCATCTTAACATCTCTCTTTCTCAATAAATAAGGTTTAATGTAAACTTTACAAAAGATGATTTCATTTTTCACAATTGACTGTTATCCAACTGTAATAACCTTATGTAAAATTTTAATATCTTAGTCCTATTTTTGACAAATAACACTTTTTCCGTATCCTCTCCTCGTAACTACTACATATCAAAAGAATCTTGCTTAATTTCCTCAAATCATCAACTGAATCAAACACAGCCACATTTTCATTGTACATATTTAATTCAGCACATTATTTCATATAGAAGTCCTTTGACCAACAGAGTTAAACAAACAGAATACAAGGATAGAAGCTTTCTCTTAGAATATACAAATCATCATCATCCTTTACCACCTTCTCTTCTCATCATCACTCAAACAGATTACTTTCTCAACTGCTGATTTTCTCAACATTTTAACCTCATTGCACCTTTCTCTGTTCTTCATGATGTACTAGCTAGTGAACTGTGTTTTTGTCTGGTCTGGTCTTGCATCAAAGCCATATTTGATTGGTCTTGGTCTTGGCCTTGTCCTCAGACCAAGTATCTTGTACAAATCCTATGGAAGGTAATTTCAGTAGCCTTGTGACCATGAACTGCTTGCCGCAACTAAATCACTGTTAAAACTGTACACACCCAAATCCTGCTGATCATTTGTTCCCCTTCCATTTTCATACTCATAGAATTTCATCAGGAAGAGTAATTGTATTATGAGTTCATCCATGTATGCTCTGTACAGAGTCAGCTTGTGTATCCCAGTCAATGATCGTTGGATATGCTTGTTTTCAAAACGAGAACATATTTGCATGCAAAGTTACACCATGGTCAAATAAATAAGGTTAAAGTATAATTCACTGCATTCTTTGAAAATGGATGTCTCAGTTTACACGCAGATGTCCTCTTTGCGCAGTGAGTTTAATTCATAGTCTTGCCTTCGGCTTAGGAAGTACACCATTTCTATCTGAGGAACCAGATGACAGAAAATCTTGGGTCATGACTAAAACAACAATGACTTTCACATGAAATTTCCTCTTTTACAGAAGTTAAACACGGGGCAATTCTTTCTCTGCCATTCACGTTAACATTTCTTCCTTTTCAAGCCTCTACGATGATCAAGCGATCTCTTTCAGTCTTAATGTGTCTTTTTGTAGTAAGAAAATCAACAACGCAGCATGAAGAAGTTTGGTCAAAAGTTTTTGTTTTTATCATAATAATCTCCTCTCCCCGATCAACATTGTGATCCAACTTCGGTTCCATCTCTGGAAAACCTATAGCTGACGTATGTTGACTGATTGCCCAGTGCGAAGCCATCACTCCTCCTCGCTAGCTCCTTCTCTACATCTTTCCTCTCCCTGGTTGGACCTGCTGACGTTGCTGTGCATGCGGCCACGCTACGACGGTTGACCACCGCCGCGGCTTGGCCTTTCTCAATCTCTGTATTCTGTTTGTTAACATCTAGTCATAATTCGATCTCTCCAGTGTATTTCTTCTGGACCGTCTCATCCCAGTACATAGAGTAGTCTGGTTCAGGCTTTTTCTCCTCCTCTCTCTTCTTAGGTGCACACCTGCAACAACAGTGAATACAAAGTCAGACTTTCTGTTGATTCTAAATGGCTCAGAATTACTTCTAATAATAATAATCTAGATTGACATTGTCACCTAATACATCTCCTATGTATATATATTACATTCTCTTTACCCCCCCCCCCCCCCCACAAACATTAGGCTGTAAAGTTGTCCAATGTTCAAAACAAACAAAACAAGTTGGTGAGTGTCAATTGATGAACATGAATATGCAGATGTCCTTTAAACATGAAATAAAAAATCTTTGAATAATTTGCTTGTAACAGTACTGTATTAAAGTAATTTACAATTGTAAGATGGGCTACATGAGCATTAACTAGTTAACAGTGGTGTCAGATATACCACAGGGTGAGGTTTCCCATAAATGCATATCAAACAAAATAGAACTGTAGTCAACATGCTAAAAATAAGAACTGAGAATATGGATATCATTATGCCATGTTAGAAATACTTACTTAGCACAGCAGAGAACTACAGCTACAATCACTATCAGAAGGACTACAACTGCTGCTATAGCATACACCCAAGGAGGAAGCGAAGCTGAAATAAATGAATGAAATCCAAACATTAGTATAATAAATATCAAGTTTTCCATGAGTGAAGTGAAATGGATATCTTTTCACAACATATTGGGTTAATACAGGAAGAACAGTACCCTAAAACTATAAATGCTTCCAAAATATCTGATGTACTCCAGGTACTAGTACAATAAAAAATTGTGTTATATATATACTTTTTTTTGTTGCATCACAAACACTTCCCCTTCCTAAAATAGTAGTGTTCAAATGTTAGTATCTTTCTTGACACATACATGCTGTTCTCTCTCTCTCCCCTTATCTCTACTTTTATTCCTCAAAAAATGTACTTGAAATTTAAGCTCACTCTCTATCTCTCTCCCTTCCTCCCTCTTTTTCTCTCTTCCTGCACCATCTTTTTTTTCTGTCTGTATTTGTCTCCCTATCGCCTCTCACATTCCAAAAATGCCTAAAATCTTCATTTTTCAACTGTATAAAAAAAATCCAAATAAGCACATACCTAGAAATGTTTGTTGTGGTGGTTTCGGTGTTGCGGTAGGCTTCTTTTGTCCTGTGCCTGGCTGTGCGTTATTATTATTATTATTCCAGTCAGTGTTGACGGAGTTCCCTGTACCTGTTTCCCCAGCATCACTGAGTTCTCCAGCAGTTCCTGGTCTACTGGAGGGTCCAGGGGATAGCGATGGGTCTGACTCGGTGTGAACCATAGGAGACATGAACCCTACATGGAGGCACGCCTCGAGTTGACCACTAGACATACTGATAAAGAAAAAGATCAAAGAGTTACATGCATGGTTGCTTGCTTGCTATAATTATAACTATAATCTTTGTGTCATAACCATCACTGTACATGTGCACAGGTTCAACACAAGAAAACGTTATCATGCTTATTCATATTGAAAAGGACTAGGGGACCGGATGAAAATTATGTCAACAATCTGTTATAAATAGAAACATGACTGTATTGAATTACTTCTGGACTTAAATGCTGATAACCAAACACCTGGGCTCTTCTCTGATATTATTGGATATCATATTATTGACTTTTAATCCTACTTGAAGAGATAAAAACGTGTATATATGACTTACCTGTATATGGCTTTGTAACCCGCATCACATACACATTTATTATCTTCAGTGCAGTATGATGATTGGATATGACATTCAGGATTACATGTAGAGCTACTAGATGGCTTATCAAGGGTACATGCACCTGCAAAGAAAGAAAAAGCATCAGATTATTTTAGAATATCAGCAAGTGTACAGGAAACTGTTAATAAATAATAACATTTATTCATCATTTGCAAACTTTATACTATCATCTGCTAAGAGCTAAAAGGGCATTAACTCTTTGTAAATGTATATGAGTTAAGGAACCTTGATTTCCAATGTGTGGCACAGAGAGGGCACCTGAGAAACAATTTATTTTGATAGTTACCTGTAACATTGAGTCCATCTGACCTTCGACACCAGACATCTCGTTGGTCTCTCTCCCATTCACCAACAAACCATTCAAACAAATAACATCGCTCCCCTAGAACAAAAGTAAAATACAGAAGAGCACCGTCATAAAACTTTCATCTCAATCAAAAGTCACATCACTACCTCACATTGTAAAATTGATCTGTAATTTGATAATACATGCCAGTCCTGATAGGTTAATGTCTACAAGTACATTTATACTACCAAATATATACCAATTAGTTCATACACATACATGTAAAATATCATCTCGATTGAAGAAGAGAAGAACAGTTTCCAATCTTTTCATGTCAGCGTAGTATTAATTGATATACACAAACGCTAATATGTATGCTCATTCCATTGTTACACAGAGTGACATCATGATGTTGTATGTGCACCTGTGGGATCTAGCTTCAGCAGTCATTTCAATGGCATGGGTTGACATCCCACCGGTGCCACCATGTCAAACAAGCATTAATGAGTAGTCCAAGCATGTTTGATATCAAGTTCAACATTAAACACAAAGCTGTTATTAGATCCATAAGACCAGCAAGATGGAAATTATGTACCTGGCATGGCCAGGATTGTTATAATCAAGTACAAGCAAATGATGGTTTACATATAACATTATGACGTCACAGCATGTAACAATGAATTGCACATAAAGTAGCACGAGCTTATAACACATGACACTACAGTCAGTTCAGTCTTTATTACAGCTGAGATGGGTTAAAAATTGTCTGACATACATGCAAAAAAACTACAAACTAAAAATCTGGAAGCAAACTTTGATTTAAAAAGTGTTAGTACCTGAGCATGTCCTTGTTTCCCAGTCATCTCCTGGACATACTCTATCTGTTGTAAGAGTGGCACGAGATCTCACCTGGATACCTTCAGAACCTACAAACATCAAACGCAGATTAAACTTGTATGTCATGGTTCTGATATATATATATATGATTTATATTACAAAAACTTTTTCTTAGCTCTATTAATGGATTAATGACTGATATATCCCAATTGTAAGCTAGAGTACACTCTAAATTATCATTGACTGGGTGCCACAGGAGCATTAGTTATCTCTATGTAAATTTTACACTTGAGTCAATCTACACCCCACTGGCACCTTACAGATGTTAAATTGATTTCATTCAACAAGGAGACAAGAAAAAATATCACTGGTGTGCCTTAAGAAGCAGCACAAAAACATTTTGTAATGCATTTTCTGTCTATAAATGAAAACGGGTTGGAAGCAAAGTTTCAACATGAATACATTGATCCCTTTACTTTTTATCCCTTTACTTCTCCATAACCCTTCTGTCTTTACATGGTACATGGTAAATATATTTCTCTTTCTTCTTCTCCTGTCTATCTTACTCTCTCTCACTCCTTCCTTTCACTTATCACACTTACCTATAGGTCTACCTTGCACACATGTTCTATGGCACACACTCCATTGGCTCCATGCAGTATGATGACATTCACCTGGACATGGTACCTCACATGAATGTTCTCTCTACAAATTAAAAAACAAATAAATGCATAGTAGATATTTAATTCATCATCAATCCATTCACAACTAATCTTTAATTTGGTACAGTTGTTTATCTTGGTATACACTGTATCAATATTTAAAAAACCACAACAATAATTGTTTTTATGAGAATATGAACAAGGGCTTTGCGACACACAAGTACCCAAATGGCTTATTTTTCATTTTAATGAGGCAGGTTTCATAGTACCCTTTTTAATGTCCATCTTGACACAAGCATGTATGCATGATACATGTACCTAACTCATCATCGTCCTGAACCAATGTAGTAGTACCTTAAGAAGAAACGCATTTCCTTAGTCCAACATTATGAACATGGATTCAATATTGAAACTTTTGTGTTTTAAATAACATACATCATTGTCAGAATTAAATATAATAAAATGAATTATGACAATTTTACGCATCACAAAATAAACACTCCTGCAGCATTTATTTCATCATCTAAACCAAATTGATGGTGTGGGATCTAGGTAAATGAAAAGATATGGTTATAATATGTTTTTACCTCTAAGAATTCATATCCATGTGATGTGACGTTGGTATTTTTCTCGTAGAGCTCTGCGCTTCTTGTCAGGAGACAGTAGCTATCTGATACAGCCATCCCATTAGGTTGACGGCAGGTCACGTTCCTCCTTCGCACACCAGCTCCACATTCACCAATCTGTTGGGACATCACACAATCAAACAGAAATAAATAAATCAAATCAAATCAAATCAAATAGAATACATAATGACAGAGATAGATGTAATAAAGCTTTTAAAAGATTCTTGAAAATGAGTCCTTTGACTTATCCATTGACTACAGAATTCTTTTATTCTCAAAGGGGTCCAGAACAGGAGCAATCCCGTTCCTGAAGGCATCTGGTAACTAATACATCACAGATGCAGATGCTGCAAATCAAGCCTGGACTGACTTACGACACAAAACACCATTGTCTTCTGGGACAGGTCAATGCCAACAACCGATTCATGTACATTGATTTCACAATGATATATTAATGTAATATTGACTGGCCTTGTGGGGGATATGACATATATCTCCCATAAGTTATACAGGTAATTGAGATTGTTTCTCACCAGTGTTGTACAATCAGTCCATTGTGTAATCGCCCAATCATAACAAGGTACAGCCTTGCAGGGTTTATCTTGGGTCAAGGTCGCAGGACATGGTCGTCCTTTCTGGTTGGGCTCCTGCAGAATACTGCGATGTTTCGTCCTTACAGCTGTGTGAATAATCAGAGTAAAAGTACAATCAAATTGAGGTTTAGAGACAGATAAAATGGAAAAAATAGTAGTTACAGAATGATGTAAACTGTAAAATAGCAATGGATTTAATAATTATTCTCAAAGTTAGAGTGTATTAGTTTCTGAAACACAAAAGCAATAACTTGCAAGGAATTTACTCAGAATTAGTTGCTGCAAACATCATATCAAAATCATAGCAAAGATTTTCAAGAAATTTACTCTAAGGCAAGCCAAGCATATTGCTTTTTGAAATGTGTAATTTTCACCCTCATCTTTAAAACAGTTGGAATGCATTTTCAAGAGGAATTACATTTCTATGAGTATAAGAGTACTGTACCATAAATATTGAATCCATTTATAAAAATCATCTTTTAATCATGCAAAGAAGGTTATCAGCTATAAGAATTATAACACTATAATTAATCAGAGTGTGAGGTCAAATTTGTATTTGCTTACCATCATTGCCACAAGTTTTTGAGCATTCTGACCATTGAGTCCATTGTGTCAGCCTACAGTCCACCGGGCATGCCACTTCACAGGATAGATAGGTAGTCAGAGGTATTGATGTTGAAAACTGCACCAAAAATGAATTGAAGATTATGATTAGAATATTATTAGAATATCTTATAAAAACAGAAACATACAAATCTACATAAAACAATGAGATGAAATATAGAAATGATAACATGAATAACTTCATATCTACTGCTGATTAAGATCAATGGTGAGGAGGATTGGTTGAAATATACAAATGTCAATTATTGAAAATGTGTATTAATTAGACTACTTCAAAGAGTGCAAAAAGGAGGAATTCAATTGAAAGAAACTTTAAATTATCATGGGGTATACAGTATAACGAATTGACATCTACTGCTGATCATCAAGGTCATATATGTACATGGTTTTGTGAATACATGATTCATATGAAAAGGATTTGACAGAATCATCTAAATGGGGAACAGAAGTATAAACAAAAATGAAATAGAGCAATGTGGGAATTCATCAGTATGATCATGGACAGCTTTATATCTACTGCTGACAATGAAGATCACTCATGTGGAAAAATACATTAATAAAAGTGATATGTTTGTGAATTAGAATATCTTTAAAGTAAATAACAAAAGATCATTGACAAGGAAAAATAACGTGGTAAAAAATTTCAATGTGATTGCTAACATCTCCATTATCCTCTACCTCTTCACACTTGGACACCTCCACAATGCGTCCATCGCTTCGCAGACATTGTAGGAGCCTATCCTGAACCCCTTCTCCACAGATTTTGCCTTTCTCTAGCTGACAGGGGCTCCATTCCGTTGAGTTCCAGGTGTAGGTGAAGCAGTTGATCCCGGGCATACACTGTTCTCTTTCAATCAAGTGAGGGCAGCTCAGGGGGTTGTTGACGCCGTTGTCGTCAGTGGTGTCGTCAGTGGTGTCGATCGGATTGCGAAAGATGAGACGGTTGCGGGTACGGAAGGTGTCTTGCGGACAGTCCTGTAGTGCAGCAATAAAATAATATATTTTGTATGTTATTTTCATTCAATGACTTAAAATGTATTTTTTTCCTTTTGAGTAAATATACAAAATCATTCCAAGGAATTTAAATGGAATTCACAAATCATTACCCTCTCCTTTATTATATTTCTCTATAATCTTAATGAAAATAATACCTATAATAGTTTACTGGGTTAAACTTGAATTATATGCATTCTCTCTATAAAGAGTTTGTCTTCTATAACCCTTTTTTTTTTCCCTCTCTCTCTCTCTCTCTCTCTCTCTCTTTCCCTGCCCTCCTTCTCTTTCTTTCTTTCTTTTTTTCTTTACTTCTTTCTTTCCTTCTTTCATTCTTTCTCAGTGAGTCCGTACCTGTGGACATGAAGTCCATTCTGTCCAGCCGCTGACCACACATTGTCCTGGACAATGTTCAATACAAGCTTCTACCAGTTCAGGCTTTCTTCCAGCGTCACAAGCTGAAAGATTAGTTACTTGTGCTCGGAAACCATGGTCTATCGGAATTACACAGCTGTAGAGTCAAATATCAAAATCGCAAATACATAAATGAATTTTTATCTCATTATATGAGCTAAAAAAGTTGGCTGATAGATTGTTTGATAATACATGACACATAGGATTACTTGTAAATCAAAATAAACATTGTAAAAAATTCATACTCATACGAGCCATTCCTACACCTTTGCATGAAGTGCTGAATGCAGCATGATTACATGACACATACATGTACATGTTTAACCCATGACTCATACCACACCCTTACAAATATCAAAATGCAAAGGAAAGATATTACATTTCTATTAGATAAATTACCTAACACATATATTATATAAATCCAAAAGGGAATTAAATCTTTTTCTAAACATTTGCATTAATGTCCTTCTATCTCTCATCAGAAGCATTCACAACATGTAAACTCTTTGATCTGTATGTTATAAGATACAGAAATGTGAAATGTATACTATGCTTATCTGATATACTCCTGCCAATTGATGTGTTTTCTTTCATAAACAGTTATACTGTTGCATGTCTGAATGGATCTTAACACAGCATAAACTTACGAGACACCTCTCCTCTTGACTCCATTACCGCAATCCCGTCCATCATTCGTACTGATGACTTTACTGACATCACAGGTCTCCCAATCTCCTGCCTTCCATGATGCATCGAGTCTACTCACACCCCAGCTGCACTTCTTCGTCTCATCATTCTGACATTGGAAGAGAGAATTAGCATTCATTTACTATTAGAAGGATATGATACGATACTTCATTGAATAAATGCAAAAACTCTTCTTGATAATATTTTTCTTTCACATGCACAATAGAATATTTTGTAGTCGACAGTATCATCATCATTCTTACATGTACAACATATATAAGCATTTACTTGAATTACTAATTTGCAGGAGAAACTAAAGAACAATTTACATAAATAGTATTGATAATACTCTTAAACTTACCCAGTTGTTATCATGCACTGGGCAAGGTCTACCTCCATTTGTCGCTTGCTGTAGAACCTGCTGCCATCTAGTGGTCACACCTATGCCGCTGTGCATACGACCTGTACACGACCTCCAGTCCGACCAGTCACTCAGTTCACAGTCGACCGGGCAGGGGATGGCACAGTGTTCTTCCATGAAATCTGCGTTTAAAAAGACAATAAAGAGACCATGAGAATAATTGGACCTGGCTATCTTGTAAACCAACAGCCTATGGGACCGAGGCCCACTAGACCTACAATGTCAGTTAATTTAGTGAACACTCTGTTACCTCTCAGGTCCTAGAAATTCTCTGATAACTTTTCAGAAGGCTTGTGATTGTCGGTCTCTTGGAATGTTGATCTTATGGGTTGTCAGTCTTGTCAGTCTTGTCCAATGTAGCCTGGCAATGGAAGGTATTTGATGATTTTTCTCCTCTAGGTTCCAAAGCATAAATAATATGTTCATGTATATGCTAAATTAATATCTCAAAGAGAGATTGATGTATATTTAATTCATGTTTCATGCTGAACTTTATGGAATATGCATGAATTGTTCTCTATGTGATAGTATTAAACATGATTTTATGAGATTTACAGGACATTCTTAACACAAAAACAATTATTTAACAGCCAAGCACTTACCATTTGAAGTTCCACAATGTGATACCTCCACATATCTATCATCTTGATCGAGGCATACCAGTGGTCGATACTTTATACCGTTTCCACACTCCAGCTCTTCGTCATATGAATTTCCTCGTAATCCTTGCACCTCAAACTGAGGTCCTCCAAGCAGGCAGTCGGACCATTTTCCTTTGGGGACGAGGCGGTAAGAGGGGCACTTGCAGGGGCGTGACTCGCTCACGGGATTGATCTTGTTATTCAAGCACTCTGGTTGACGCCGACTGTGACCTAAATAAAGACAAATTGCCATAAGGCGGTGTCAAACAGAGGCCCAAAAAACGGAAAAACAGATTATAATTATCCGGATTTTAGTTATCCTCTTAATTGGCTGTCTTTCATCAATTATCCCTTCTAAAATCCCTTCAAAAATCCTCAAACGAAGTAAGGTAAAATTCTCCCTTGAAAGGATTTTTCAAGGGATTTTTTAGGGGATTTTTCTGTCTGACACCAATGTTGAAATAATCCCCTTTAAAGGTCAGTGTAAGGTCAACGTGATTGGCTGTTATATGTTTTTTTAATGCGCTATCATAACCTGCCACAATAGGCGGTGTCACACAGAGGCCAAAAATCTGGATTTTAGTTATCCAGATTTTAGTTATCCTCTTAATTGCTGTCTGTCATCAATTATTCCATTAAAAATCCTCTAAGGAAGCAAGAAAATTCTCCCTTGAAAGGATTTTTAAAGGGATTTTTCTGTGTGACACCGCCTATTGTTGATTTCACGTTAGTTGCATTCTAACCTAACAATCAAATGTACATTTCATCCTGTAATGAACACAGTGAGCATTTAAAGTATGGTGTCAGTTTCAGAGTGAGAAAATGTGAATCTCTTGGTTGCATTTAAAAAATTGAAATCAAAGCTCTGGAAGAATATATTAATTCTTATCGAAATTCTAAAATGACAGAACAAGCAAAATGTTTAAAGAAATTAATATTTCTTTAACTATAGAGGTTGCCATTCCAACCCTAACCTTTGACGAAATACATATAATGCCTGGAGAAATTTGTCATCAGAGCAAATGGTGCTGGAGCAAATTTCTGATCATCATTGACTTACCACTTATCCTCCGTCTTCTAATCTGTGAACCAGTGCATTGAGAGTGGCAGTTACTCCATGGTGACCATTCTGTCATACGACAATCATCTGCACATTCTATCCTACATTGTTCAGAAGATGGTGGCATTGGTGGTCCATATTGCAGACACAGGTCACTCTCCATGATATTCCCATCACTCCGCTCACACTGGATACCTGTATGAAATAGATTCAGTCATTTCATTTCTTTTGTACAAAAGTGTCCCCTTTAATGTAGGTTACTAATCAATGTACATTTTGGAATAAATATGTGCATATTTCTTTAATGAACATATGTGTGTAGCATCGTTAGTTTCATATACATTACTGCTTTAAAAATACAACAACAAAAAACATATAATTACTCCTTATTTCACAATTATCTAGTGTATTCAAGCTCCTGAAGAGGTAGATATATTCAGTATTAGTTTTGGACATGAATCTCATTGAAAAAAAGGGACAAAATTGTGTTGAAAACATTTGCATGAATGCAAGGATGTAAGCAATACATTGACAAGCACGTGATATTACTATTTTCAACTAAGAGAACTGCATTTTCTACAAGACTATAATTATAATAAGCAAAAGAACTACAGTGTATACACCAGACAATCATCAGACCTAAGAAAAAAAAGTAGTTTACCTCTGGTTATCAGCCCATCTCCGCATTGCTCGTGGATTCCGTCCATACTAACGACATCTATCCCGGTCAACCGACACTCGGTCCACGTGCCAACTAACCAGGTGTAGGAATAGCAGGAGTCTGGCTTGTTGCATGTTCTCTCTTCTCGGAGTAACGTGGGACACTCCTCACCTCCATTCTGAGTTTGTTGTAAGATGTAACGTCTTCTCTCTTGCGTAGCCAGCGATCCATCTATAGATGATGACAAATTGTGATGTGAAAAAGTTATTTTTTGGAATAAAAAATACAGGTGATCAGTGAGAGTGACAAAAATGAATATCAGGTGGTTTGTTCACATTCTCTCTTCTAAGAGTAGGGTGGGACAGTCCTCTTCTCTCTTGCATAGCCAGAGATCCATTGATAGATGATAAGAGCTTGTGATGAAAAGAGAAATGATTAGCATGAAGGGACACAAGATGGATAGAGCACTGGTAATGAAAAGTTAATATTTCATGGTTTGTTGCATATCGCTCTTCATGGAGTAGCATGGGACACTCAGACTCTTCACCTCCTTTATGGGGTTTTCATAAGATGTATCATTATCTCTCTTGCATAGCCAGAGATCTGTCTATAGATGATGAGAGACTGTAATGTAAAGAGGAATGATTAGAATCACAAAATACAGAGGAGGGAGAAATAAAGTGGAATATCTAAACATAGTAGATAATAAAGATTCAGATTGAGATTTCAGATCAAGCAAATATATCAGTATCGTGATTAGCATGAAAGCTCATAACAATGATAACGAATTGCAATATCTGATTTACTAACATTATGATCAACATACAAAATTATTGGCAGCATTCCAAGACAAGTTAGTAATTTTGTTCCTTGATATTGTTTTGCAAGGTGCCAAAGAAGTTTTGCTTTTGTACTTTTTGTTCATCTGTACTTAACATTTTATTATGAGGTCTCAAAAGTTTAATCAGGTCAGATTATATTTCCCCAGTAAATCTCAACCAATATTTACTATACTCAACAAAAGATTGTTCCTGGTAAATAAGTGACAAAATTCTCCTCCACCCCTCAAAATATTCTTTAAAATCTTTTAACCCAAGGTTTCCCTTAACATTCTTTAAAGTTATATCTTTCATTTGTTGTAATGCCTTCTTTTTGGGTTGCTTAGCATCATTCAGAATAAGACACTACATGAATCTTAATTGCTTGTCTTCCCTTATAACTCAGCCATAATCAGTAAGCATTCCGCAGCTTCTCTGACTCGTATTAATCTTATCCTGCCCCCTTTTGCTTTGCCTCTCATACATCACGGGCAGAGCGCATGACGGCAGTGACAGACAAAAAGAGAAGACGACCTCAGGCGGTAGAGGGACTGGCAGAAAATTAGATAGCAATTACAGGGGAAATTGATGCTGTTTTCATGGGCAGCAAATGCACCCATGGGCGGTTGGGATGAAAAACTTATGGCAGTTTGAAATGGGGTTCGTACCTTTGATGGGGTAGTGACCTGCCTCTAATACCAGGGTATAATCTCAATGTTAGTCTGTTTATTCTTTAAATGCATGGATGTGAAATCAAGCCTCAAGAAAAGTTGTTAACTTGTGAATATATCAGACCAGATATAAATAATGGAATCCACCACAAACAAAATCTAATATTCATTGTAAATTGCATTCACTTGCCTCTCTACTTATGCACATGTAGATATAGCGGTCCCTAGACGTAAATAATCATATCTGATTAATACAAGTTTGTTAAAACCCAATTACATGCACACACACACTCACACACAACCTGGAAATGAGACCATGTAAAGGGAGGGGTTATGTTACCTGAAGAGCATGTTGTGGGGCAGGATGTCCAGTCTCCAAACTCAGAGACTTCACAATCCAATGTACACTGCACCTCACATGGCCTGGATGCAGGTGGACGCACTGGCGCAAAACATCTACAGAAGATAGAAAAAGGATATTTATCAATTATGAATAACAATTATAATACCTTAATTCATAAAGTTATGTATGAAGTTCATTCAGAATTTAATTCTGTTCTCTTAGCAGTTTGAGAGGGGGGCAGGGGGTGGTGGCTTACTCCCCCCCCCCCCCCCCCCCAAAAAAAAAAAAACATGAATAAATAATTATACAGCAAAATCTTCATTATTAATTAATTAAAGGAAAATATAGAAAATGAATGCCAGCTAAACAAAATCCCAACCCCCAATACTTAACCTGGCCTAACCATATGCCCTAATGGTGCATGCAGAAATATGGGGTGTATTACAACTTTACGTACTGTGTACCTAGCCCTAAACATTACCAAACCCTAACCTCAAACCCTATAATGGTCCATATTGTGGATATATGGATATTTAAAACTTGATCTACCTTTTATCTGGTGCAATCTTAGCTGGACTGACTCGACTGCAGCTGACATTCCTGGTTTGGGTTCCCATCCCACAAGTTCCATACTCATCAGGTGTGAACATCTGATCGGTATTGTCTAAACTCGGCATGCATTCTCCCCACTCAGTGGTAAGCCAACCAAACAGGGTACAACTATGATGGTTGCACACCCGTGACTCCTTCATCTCGGCAATCTCCATGTCAGGACATGCTGCTCCACCTGTATACAAGATATATATCTAATTAGAGCAACTCTCAAATCAAAATGTTCATCTTTCACACAAAATTAAAAAAATATCAAGGATGGCTACTTTAATTATTGTAAGACACTATTAAGAATCAGTGTTGTGTCAATTATGATTTCATTACCTGAACTGTGGCATACCTATATAAACTTCTTTTTTTTTAATCTGAACCACTCAGAAATTTTGCACACTTTCATGAGCGAGACATTTTTTGCATTTACAGTAGCTTTGAAATTGTTAAAATACTAAATGGAAATGAATACTAAGAATGAGAGGAGCTGGAGTAAATATTCACTTCTGAATGACAAACGCCTATAAACTAAAACAACAAAAACAAATAGGTACTCTACTCACCAGGTCCAGGCTGAGCCAAGATAGTCCTGTAGCGTTCCTGGAGCCCACCAGGCCTGCCTGTCTCAGACTCACACGACTGGGAGCATTCACTCCATGGCCCCCACTTGCCTAACACACAGTCTGATGAGCAGGGAGCTTCACAGGTTACTTCTTCAGAAGGCTTGTTCACAAGGGCCTCACACATAGACTCATCTTCAACTGGAAGCTAGGGAGAGGGAGGGGGAAACAGAAAAGACAGTTTACCCATTGCCTATGTGAACAGGTTGGTTCCTACTAAATTTGGAAATTAGTAGTGGTCAATAAAGTAATACACATCTATTGTAAACAAATGTTAGAACTTGATTAATACATATAGGCTGTTCAATCTGTGGGAGATCATAGGCATAAGGCCACTATTTCGGGGAGGAGGGGGGGGGGGGGGGTCTGATATCTCTTGGCTGAATATATATATATTTCAGCTTCTAAATATTGTGAACCAGTGGAGAAGGCAAAGTCAATTTTATCTCCTTTTAAAAGTGACAATATAGTTTTGTAATCAAATTTCTGAGATCAGATTATAACAAATAATAACAAAAAAACTATATGAAGATTACCTCTTTGCTCAAATACGAGTTGGCCAATGCTGTAATACTACTAATCTCATCATTCTGGGAAAGGGCAGTACAGCCTGCACCTCTATCACAAGATAAAGGTCATCTTTTTGATGACTTCTGCCAACAAATTAATTATATTCAATCTATAATCCACCAATTTTTAGTTCTAGATAAAATACAAATTGTCAGACAACATTATAGAGCAATGCAACATATCCAAAGAAAGGTTGGTATGATTTGCTATTGAACGTAAATAAAAGATTAAATGACTAGACACACAAATAACAAATAGGCCTTCATACTTCTTGCGAGTTGATACAGTAGACGTTTCTGGTCATGACGCCTTCTCCACACATAGTCTGTGCATCACTTGGTTGACAGGTTGCTTCCTCCACCACCCATCTGAAGCAAGGCTGAACGTTACAAGGGGCATGCTCTGTCAGGTGGGGGCACTTTAAGCCGTTATGCTCTGGGGGCGCCACAATCTCCCTTGAACGATGGATGTGTCCTGAAAAGATCAAATAATGGCAAACATGATATATATTTAATAGGTTTGCCTTGCATTATTAGAACGGTAATGATTTGCTACATGTACAAGAATTTTGAATCTGGACAACTTCTAAAGAGCAGTCTACTATCTGGGCCCAACACTAATAGGCACCTGAGACTCATGGGTGCCCAAAACTTAAGTCTAACCCTCCCCGCTCCCAAAAAAAAGTTTTACATAAGGCTCATGTATACAGACTCTTAAAAGTTAAATCTAGACACTGGCCATTATTTTGAAAGACCTTTCATCAGATCAAGCAATTTGTTGGCAATATTTTGAACCAACAAATTGATAAACGTGAAGGATTTGTCAGTTAATAAAACCTTCAACAAATTATTCAATGCCTTTTAGAGCACTATAATTTTTCCTATTTCAGGAAACTACAAGAAAAAATCTGACTACAGTGATGTTGAGTAAAAACAAAAATTCAAACATTAAATTCTGCACTGAGCATGATGCTGGTTTTGATAAGATGAAAAGGGTATACATGGATTGGAACAAAGCAGATCTTGTATTGATTGCATGATGTTATTAGATTTTGGATTCAGCTATCATAATATGATGGGGTACTTTGGAAAAATGTTGAAGTAACTAAGCAAATAAAATGCTCTTTTATAATTTGAAAAAGGTTGCAAATCTATTGAAGAACAAAAGGATTCTTCATTACCATAATAGATAGAAATATGAAAGTGATGCAGTATTCTCACCTTTTAAAACAAACATTCCTTCCATTAGCTTACATTTAATCACCCACCTCAAGCGACATTTATCACAAGCAAACACAATTAAAGTTTTCCATTTATTATTTGTATCTTGTATCATCTCTCTCTCTCTCTCTCTCTCTTTCTCTCTCTCTCCTACCCATAGGTAGTCTTGTTAACCAGTTGATTAGATTGTTATTAACACAAGTCAATAAGAAAAGATGTTATTTTAAAGGTATACTGCCTTGGGGCATAGAAATTAGAAGGTACAAAATTTTCTCATTATGTGACCTCATTCAGGAATTCGCAGAGATTCTGATATTGTCCTACTTCAATTGTACGCCATGGAAAATGTTCATTAAGGTGAGCTTTGCCTCAGGGCAGTCATTATACAGGTGGGTGGAGGGAAATATCAAATCACTGAGCTAAATAAATAACAAAAGGTAGGCAGCCAATAAGGTGGAATGACAAACTATGAACTGGGTTTGATAAAAAGGACAAGACTCTTTCTTAAAAGCACATTATGTCATTCTTGAAAATGAGAAATTACACAGCCCAAAAAATGGGAAACACACCCACACACACACAAAAGCTAAATGTCAAAATCAGTATCCACTTTTAAAGAAATTCACTACAACCCTAATATAAAGACCCGGAGCAAAAGGTTGTACACATTCTTTTGTAAATGCTGGAGTTGAATCTACAGATCATTGTACCACACATTTCCAATTGAGAACTGTTATTATATTAATAATTTAATTCATTCTTCTCAACATGTATCTTATAGCATTCTTTTATTATCATTACCTCTCTTCTACTACACATTTCTCTCTGAGATTGGATTTATATCAGCAAAAGGCTATTTAGGATAAACAGTGCGTAGTTCAGTCAATGCTTATACAAGGCCATATAGCAGATTAGAAGCCTTGCTGATGTAAAGAAAATAGCTTTTAGCATGTTTTGAAAATATCTTATGACCATCTTAAGCAAACATTAACTTGAATGCCACAACCAAGATGCATACTAAAGGCAATCAGTGAATACACATCAACAATCTGGAAAACATAATCAAAATGTATATCTTACATAAAACAAAGCATTTGTTGGGAGAATGTTGAGAACCAAAAGGGTGGTTCACATAGTTCTGTGTAAAATGATATGAATTAAAGCCCTTCTGGCATTCATCTGACAAAATCCTCAATAACAAAAAATGTTAATAGAAATGATGTGACATATATGCATAAAGAATTATATTGAAGCAATTATAAGGACAACAAATTTTGAAAGATGTATAATCTTTCTGTCTGGCATGTTGTTGTTTTATTCTTACTATTGAATGAATCCTGCTTTTATCACATTCCCTCATCTCTCATGATCCACTGAGCCGCCCGACGTTGCCAATTTGGCGCTGCCGGTGACTGAGAACCCATTATGCCTAGGCAGTGGAAATGTCAGCGGTGTTTGTGCCATTGATTGCTGACAATATTAGATCAGGAAAAGAATTAACACAAGTCCTGATGGGTCTCCCACATGTTCGGACCTAGATTTCGATTAGTAGTGCAAATATGCTGTACCTCTACATGGCTTTCCTCTATTGAGCAGACCAGCCAGCTCAGGCGACCATCTTTCTCTCTTTCTCACACTTTTTTGAAATCTTCATTCAATCTTATGATTTCCTTACAATTTAAACCAGTCTTAATTCTATTCTGTCCGGTATGTTGTTATTTTACTGTTGCTTCATCCTAACAAATTCAACTCTTTTAATTCTTCAAAAGCATATATCTTTAAATAAACTTTAATAATTTGTCTGAAATATTTATTTATCCAATTACCGGTATCATTAATATTTAGGGTTGGTTAAATTCATACATGCAAGTGCATCTGCAAGTTATGCTGACTACCTAAAATACAAGAATAACACAACATATCTTGATTGATCTCATGTATGTAAAAAAAAGAAATCAATCAAAAATAATGAATACTAAATGCCCATTCATTTTGGATACTGATGAACCTGACATGGCAATAAATCACTAACTTCATGCAATATTTAAAAAACGAATCTCATTCATAACAAATGATAACTGGAAAGAAACTTGCAAATCAATCCATCAATTGCATTTCCTAAAATATTAAGCACCTGCACTCCATCAATACATATCACAATATTAATTAAATTACTTTTCTGAAAATGTTGAACCTATAAATTTCTAATCATTCTTTCAATGAACTTTCCATGCCACTTCATGAATCTCTCTCCATCCCGCCCCCTCTTTTCCCCCTCTTCTTCTCTCTCCCTCTCCCTCCCTCCCTCTCTCTCTCTCTCTCTCTCTCTCTCTTTCTCTCTCCTTCTTTCTATATACCTCTGTCCCAACCTTTCCTTCACATTACAGTCCTCTTTCATTCTCTCTCCATTACACACATTCATTATACACTATTCTTCCCTTTCTTGTAACATATGCCTGTTAGCCTATTCAGGTTGAATCCAGTATTCCACAATACAAACACATCACTCGTTTCTAGTACAGAATCCCTGTATCGTTGGGACCTCTTGGTATTTCCCAATTCAAATATCAATTTGGCATAATATTCCAAATCTGATCATCACCCTGGGACCCCTAACGATGATTCTTCATGGAGCCATGCATGTAAATATTTATGTCAAAATAGTTCCAAAGACCACAAGACTACCTAATGAAATCCATCTCTCTCCATCCTCATTCTTAATCTTCGGTTGGAGTCCCCATTTCTCTCTCTCTCTCTCTCCCCCTTACTGTCTCTCCCTTTCTCTAACTCATTCTCTCTACTCTCTGTGTATCCCTTTTCCACTCCCTGTCTTTCTTTCTCTCTGCTCTACTGCTTCTTGGATTCTCTCAATCTCTACCTTTCTATATTTTTCTCCCTCTCTCTCTCTCTTTTATGTTTTCTAGTATTTCATCCCATCATTCTCCCAGCACCCTCTCTATTACATCTTTCTTCCTTTCCCTCCCTATTCCTCTGACATTCCCCTCGGCCCTCATCCCGCCCACTCTCTCTCTCTCTCTCTCTCTCTCTCTCTCTCTCTCTCTCTCTCTCTCTCTCTCCAATCAGCATCTGTCTCTCTCTCTCTCTCTCCCCCCCCCCCCCTCCTTCTCAATGTGCACCATGCACCTATAATGTAAATCCACTATCTCAAGTACAAGTAAACTTCAGACACACTCTCAAATTGGTTTGCAATCAAATCTCACCTGTAAAACACCTGCAACCTACGTATGTTTTTTCTGGAATCGACATGTGTCAGGAGCATTTCCTACATGCCGCTAAAGTCAATTTCATCTGCTTTTCAGCACAACTCCAGGGATGAATTTCTACATATCTTTGCGCGCAACACTTGTTCCTTTTCCCATATGCTTGATCTCTGCTTCTAGCACACATTTCTTTAGGAGACTAGTATGAAAATCATGGTATATATGTCCACCAAAGAAGACAATTTATACCATGGAAGTGCTGCAAAACTAGTCCTGGGGTGCTGTCGAAAACACCAAATAATAGGATAATCTGGAGGGAGGGGGCTTTTTCTTTCTCTTTGAGCTTGTCAGAAAATATGGAGTGAAAAGTAACTTAAAAATGTGAACAGTATATTTCTGGACTTATTTAGGATTTAGGAATTTAGGAAGGAAAAGGACATCCAAAATATGAACACTTTTTTCTTTCCGTGCCAAATGAATATGGGGTGAAAAGGCAACCCAAAACCTGATGACATTTTTGATACTTAAAAAAGTCCCTTTTTTAAAACATGAAACTGACTTTCCAAGAAAATGTCCATATCGATTTTACATTCATATTCAAAAAGTGCATCTTGCTTGCCGCAGATTAATGTTATATTCTTATTTCCCAGGGTACTGCAAGATACAGATCATTACATTATGTGATATATTCCATCTGTAATGCTTATTTCACCATATGTTATCTCTCAGATTGACATATGACTTCTCACACACTGTTTGCACACATCTATGCTGAAATATGTCCTACATCGTCATCTACATAGGCAAAGTATGTCAATAAAGACACCCAATAATAATTTATTTTTTTCATCAACAATTCAGAGAGATGAATATCTGATATATCATTGACTTTGAAAAGAAAATATAATCATAATGAATAAATCAAATATCTATAAAGATAAACAAATATATAAAAAACTCCAAGATTTAGATACTGGCTAGGCCCAACTGATTATAGGATACAACTATTTGCCTATATTTGCCACCAGAGGAA